CCATCAAAGTGAGATTGCACGTTTGCTACACAGCTTAATCTCGAGATATATTTTAATCTATCAAATTGTATACTCATCCTTGAATAAACTCATCCTTGAATAAACATATTTACTATTTCCAGATATTTGTAGTTAAAATTTCCAATAAACATGGTATCTAAGCACAAATCAGGCAATAAAAACAAACACATTGATTTAAAAAAACAAGCACAATATTGGCTATGAAGCTGAATACTTGATTACTTAGTAGGGCCTACCATGTTTCATGTCCACTGCCTTGTCTCATTTTACCTTTTATTAAAGATATCGTGTCATTTAAAAAAAAAAAAAATTAGTATAAAAAGATCACCCTCAGCCCCCCAACAACTCAAATTGTTTACGATGAAATAGTATTGTTGCTACTCCGTTTTATAAAGCTACGACCTGCAACCCGTTGTGGTGGAGTCCATTATCATCAACCCAGGGGAACGCTACGACTTCTTCATTACAACCAATCAGAGTGTTAGAAACTACTGGGTAAGGGCAGTCACTCTAGAAGTGAATGTGACACACGTGGCAGAGGCTATTTTAAGCTACAGCGGTTCACCAGAAGGGGATCTGTCGTCAGTGCGGAGAAACTGTACACTTATCAGCAGGTCAGTAATTTGTATTTCTTAGTCTTTATTTTAATAGTAGGAGAGGATTTCAAAAGCGTTATCCCAGGGAGCAGAGATGCTACTTTTATTGAAAATGTTATCAAGAATCAGACAACACGAAGGAAATGTATCAGCTTACGTTAGACGTTAGACAACTTAAAGTAGCGATCAATACGCTTCACTATAGAAATTTAACCTATTTTGAATTCTTTTATTTTTATCTTTAAAAAAAATTTTTTGTCTGCCAAACTATTTCGCGGGCGCTACATCATTAATCATCAGCTTTGCCTTTTCACGCTTTTATTCACTATTTATTTTCTACCTGATCAATTCTATTACATGTTTAGTGCGATGTGAACCTAAAGTCAGCCATTTATCCCCTCCCCCCCACACACACACTAACCCCCCCCCCTTTTATAAAAAAGCGTAATGATGTCATTTACTACTAAAGAATGAATGATCTCAATTTATTACTAGACAATAAATAAATTTTTAACTCAACAATGATCTAACTTTATAACTACCGGAGATTTCCATAAGTAGGCCCACCCGAGCATAAGCCCATGAGCCTGTATACTGAAAGTCTTTCCTTATACAGGCCCATGGGCTTATATTAGGTTAAAAAAAATTTTAAACCCATATACCGAAACTTCTGATGAATCGTCACTGTCAAGTATTTGATATAATAAGGAGTTTAACGTTGCATTTTGTTGGTGACACAAATGTTGACGGCATGAATTACTTCAAATGGTGTCAGAAAGCGTAAAAATGATCTCACCTGAAAACATACGAAAATCATTTAGTGCATGTGGGGTAATACGTGATGATGACAAGCATCTCAACCAGCGATTGAATGCTGTAATCAGTTTTGAAGCTGAAGAAGGTATCAGACGTGCACATGAACAGAACGATGAAGAAGAAGAGTCTGATGACCCTTTTGAAGATCTTACAGATGAGACTCTGATTAAAAACATTTTTTGTACTTTTTCAATATTTTCAAACAGCAAAATTTTTAAGTAACTTACTTAAAGAAATATTAACTATGTTATCTGTATTTTTATTTATCATTATTTACCAGTATTTCTTTTCTCAGGAAGATTGTTGGACGAATGATTACGACATTTAAATCTATGGGTAATCTGATTTATATGAAGAAAAACAATCTTTAAAAAATGATCATTTCACTTTACTAACGACTGATCTTTATTACAAAATAAAATAACCTTTTAAATTTTTTATAACATATTTTCAACTTAGAAAAGATTTTGGCTGAAAAACAGAAGAAAAAAAAATATACAAAGAAATAAGATGCGAGTGTATCAGGTAGTAATTAGTAGTTGAACTGATTGGTAGTTTCCATATAAAAACCCATTCACCTTTAATTGGTACAAAACTCTCAATCATGTCATGCCCAGGGCTTATTTACGGAAATCTCCGGTAAACAATGATCTCAATTTATTACTAAACAATGATCTCAATTTATTACTAAACAATTATCTCAATTTTTTACTAAACAATGATCTCTATTTACTACTAAAACAATGATCTCAATTTATTACTAAACAATGATCTCAATTTATTACTAAAGAATGACCTCAATTTATTACTAAACAATGACCTCTATTTACTACTAAAACAATGATCTCAATTTACTACTAAACAATGATCTCAATTTACTACTAAACAATGATCTCAATTTATTACTAAACAATGATCTCAATTTATTACTAAACAATGATCTCTATTTACTACCAAACAATGATATCAATTTATTACTAAACAATGATCTCAATTTACTACTAAACAATGATCTCAATTTACTACTAAACAATGATCTCAATTTATTACTAAACAATAATCTCAATTTATTACTAAATAATGATCTCAGTTTATATCTTAACAATTATCTTAATTTATTACTAAACAATGATCTCTACTCGTCCCTTTTTTAAATAGTTTAGTCATCAGTTAATAAATAAGCATAAAAGAAAAATGGTTAATGGTTTAGGAAGATGCTGCTGATGTCATGTACTCATCTTGCATTTCCATCTACGGGTACCGCACTATACGTACAATTGTAATTTCGTCTTATATCTGTTTGTGATTATGTAGCCAGTCGTTTGATATGATGATACCTTCACAGATGTCTGGTGGTCAACTGTCCATTCTCGTATTACCCTAAAAATGAAAACATCGATTGCATACACATCGGTCAACTTAATGCAACAACTGACCAGGATGTTCCTGGGGAGGGTGGTGGCGTGGAGATTGAGGACCTTTTCTTTAACTTTGGTTTTCCTGGACCACAGCAGACGACATCTATAAATGGAAGGAGGTTTATGGTAACTTTTTAAAGATGGCATGATGTAGGTCAGCAGGATTATGTGGCAGGATATGATGAAAATACAGTAACAAGTTCTTAACCAAATGAGAAGTTACTAGTCCGTGTAACAATGCTGTGACAGAAACTGTTCAAACATCTTGTCACTACATAAGTACACACACCTTCTATTGCTTCATACCATGCCAGTTTTTGATAGAGCTTTGTTTGTTTTATTCATTAAACTGTGGTTTAAATATAAATAAATGTCATAAAATATGAATTATAAATATATTTGCGTCTGACAAAAATATCCTTATTATAACTTAAAATCTGTCCAGCATTGTTGGGATTCACTATGCTTGAATACTATTTATACTTAAAAACAACTCTATGAACTCTATGAACTCTATGATGCCAGCATTTAAATTATGTGGTTTGGAAATCGTTTGCCCAAATCGATTATTGTGGGTTGATTGTTAATTGTGTGTCTAGTTTGTGATGGTATGAAGAACTAACCAATCGCATGTGTAGTTTGTGATCGTATGAAGAACTAACCAATCGCATGTGTAGTTTGTGATTGTATGAAGAACTAACCAATGGCATGTGTAGTTTGTGATGGTATGAAGAACTAACCAATCGCATGTGTAGTTTTTGATCGTATGAAGAACTAACCAATGGCATGTGTAGTTTGTGATGGTATGAAGAACTAACCAATCGCATGTGTAGTTTTTGATCGTATGAAGAACTAACCAATGGCATGTGTAGTTTGTGATGGTATGAAGAACTAACCAATCGCATGTGTAGTTTTTGATCGTATGAAGAACTAACCAATGGCATGTGTAGTTTGTGATTGTATGAAGAACTAACCAATCGCATGTGTAGTTTGTGATTGTATGAAGAACTGCCAATCGCATGTGTAGTTTGTGATTGTATGAAGAACTAACCAATCGCATGTGTAGTTTGTGATTGTATGAAGAACTAACCAATCGCATGTGTAGTTTGTGATTGTATGAAGAACTAACCAATCGCATGTGTAGTTTGTGATTGTATGAAGAAAATTTCAATTGAATGTTTAAACTGAATGTCTAGTTTGTGATCACATGAAGCAACTTTTTGTATTGTGTGTCCAGTTTGTGATCACATGAAGCAACTTTTATATTTCGTGTCCAGTTTGTGATCACATGAAGCAACTTTTTGTATTGTGTGTCCAGTTTGTGATCACATGAAGCAACTTTTATATTTCGTGTCCAGTTTCCGCACGTCTCGGCTCTCACTCAACCCGAAGAGATATCAACAGGTTGTGACGACGATCAATGTGGAGAAGACAAAGTCTGCCATTGTTCCTACTCAGTTACTCTACAGGTGAGGTAATTATGTGGTAACAGAGGTTAGGTAATTTTGTAATGATATCGATGTGGCAATGTGGTAATGGGGGAGAGCTTACGTTATGGTAAACTTGATACGAAGCAATTTTGTGGTAATAGTGGGTAGATAATTTGATGATAATATATATGAACTAATATTGAATATTTATTGACATATGTTTAATTTTCTAGGAATATATGTGAGGTAATTTATGACACTATTATGAGATATTCCTAATTTTCTAGGAATAGAGGTGAGGTAATTAGTTGTAAGCTTATAATACTAACTTAATATATGGTTCCAGAGGTAAAGTAATATGAGTTAATTGAGGTAAGGAAATGTATGCACATATGAGGTGATAATAAAATACAAGAAGTGTAGTGGGATAAAAGTGGTGAGGTTGTAGACATAGCCTTATAATTGTAACAATCGTAAGAATTTGCGGATATAAGAAATACGGCAATGTGAGATGGTATGTTTTAATGTATGAAAAATTGAACATAATAACAAAGGGTTGGGGGGGGGATTGTACTTCAATCAGGTTTAGGTAGAATTAGATATGTGGAACAGTGTATAGTAAAAATGTATGACAGCATTGTTTATTTGTCGATCAACAGCTGCATTTGGAGGATTCACCTTTAACAAAATAATACTTAATAAAACTTCTTTTCCAGTACAACAAAATCTATCAGATTGTGTTAACAAACATGGGCAATGGCAAAGGTTGGGCTCATCCAATACACATGCATGGGCACAGTTTTCATGTTGTCAAGATGGGCTACCCAACTTATGATCCAGAAACAGGTAGAGTTGAACGCTATCTAGAGATCTATATCAATAGTGCTATTGTGTAGATGAACTCATTTTGTACACACACAGCCTCACAGACACAAACATAGGCCCATAAATGTACACATAGACTCAAATACAGGCACACACATAGGCGCGCACACACACGTAGGCACACACACACAGGGGCTCGCACACACACACATACACAGTCACACACTCAGGCACAAAATATAAGGTTCACATAAGTTACACATACAGATAGGTACACACACACACATAAATAACTACACACACCGTCACATACACCGATAGGTACACATACAGGTACCTACACACAGGCGCACACACATAGGTACACACACAGGCACCTACACGCTGGCACACACACACACACCTAGGTACAGGCACACACACACCTAGGTACAGGCACATACACAAAACACAGGTTCACCTAAAGGTTCACACACATGCACACTGATGTGAACGCACAGAGGCGCACACACACACTTATGCACACATACAGAGGCACACAGACACACAAGTTGATTTGATCTAAATCCTGACGTCATCGCTCAAGCACTCCGGAATAATTGTTGTAGCCTCTGCTCCATCTCTGCTCCGTACAAATTACTGTCACCTATGCTCAAGTACTGTTCTGGACCAAGTGTTGTCACTTATTCTCCAGCACTGTGCTGGACCAAATATTGTCACTTATGCTCAAGCACTGTTCTGGACCAAGTGTTGTCACCTATGCTCAAGCACTGTTCTGGACCAAGTTTTGTCACCTATGCTCAAGCACTGTTCTGGACCAAGTGTTGTCACCTATGCTCAAGCACTGTTCTGGACCAAGTGTTGTCACCTATGCTCAAGCACTCTACTGGACCAAGTGTTGTCACTTATGCTCTAGCACTCTTCTGGACCAAGTGTTGTCACTTATGCTCAAGCACTGTTCTAGACCAAGTGTTGTCAACTTTGCTCAAGCACTGTTCTAGACCAAGTGTTGTCACTTTTGCTCTAGCACTCTTCTGGACCAAGTGTTGTCACCTATGCTCAAGCACTGTTCTGGACCAAGTGTTGTTATCTCCGCTCCATCCAGCGCTCCGGACGAATTGTTGTCACTTCCGCTCCACCGCTCTGAGCTCCCGTTTAAGGCTGGTTAAAGGGGAGAGCTTATAAAGTTCAATACTCGAAGGTCGAGATTCTATCTCTTAGGACCTTGGCCGTGAAACATAGCCCAGTAGTCCCTGGGGACTCCGGCCATGCAACTCGGCCCAAGTAAGGTGGGGTTGGAACAGCTTTGCTTCCTCTCCGGAGATGACGTTGCGTTGCCACCACCACCGCCCGGGAGCTGTACGTTTTCCTTGGTATGGGACGGCTTTACTTCCACTCCGGGAGCAGTCACGAGCTTAACTTTCTCCCACCGTTCCCAAGAGTCGTACGAGCAAGTTTGGTTCCCAACGAGTTGTTTCCCTCCGGCGGGCGTTTCGTTGCCTCAAACCCGCGTTTCTCTGGGAGCGTTCCGGACAGGACTGTGAAGGGTTAGAACGGCCTTAACTTCCTCTCCGGGAGAGGCGTTGCGTTACCTCAACCCACGGCTCTGGGAGTTGTTCAGACTGGACGTGGCGAGGACGAAACGGTCGCCTAGGGGTGGCTTTCTCAGGGCCGCGTCTTTTAATTCACTGGCAAGGGTTTGGGCGGCCACCCACTACCTCATACCCGTCACCGGCAACACGTAATCATGTTAGCGCTTAACTTCCGTTGCGTTAGAAATCATGCGTTTTGCAGTGTGTGATCTTTGGCTTCCGGAAGCATGTCCGTACTAGTCTTCCGCGCTGCGTAGAGGCAGATCACGTGCGACATTGCCTCGAGCATGGCAATGTGACTTTCCCTCAACCCAGCAAGCTGTCTCAAGGGAAAAGTCGAAGAAAGGGGAGAGCTAAATGTTTCTATAAGTGTCCATTACCCATCTTAATAACTAGGCCTTAGAAATGCATGTTCCAGCAACACGTTACAAAAGTCTTTAACACCGAGGCGAGGCTTCTCGTGAACGAGCTTGGCAAACCTTGTTAATTATATCACCGCGTTCTTTGCTGCAGTTCGTTAGTTTCACAGAATGCCATAGAACCAAGCACCTAGCATTGATGATTTTATTGTAACTTGACTTTTGAAGGATGATGTATAATGACGAGCTGACGTATGTCTTAAGCAGTCTTGACGCTATGCATCGCTTCTCCGTCGATGTCTTTGTACAAGAGGTTCTGATTCAGAAAAAAAAACAACAAACAGTCAATCGAAGATCTTCGTAAGATAAAAATGGATGTGTTGATAATTAACTTTTCAGATTAATTGATAACGTCATATTGATTGATAACATTGTCATATTGACTGATAACATTGTAATATTGATTGATAACAGTGTAATATTGATTAATAATGGTCATATTGATTGATAACATTGTCATAATGACTAATAACATTGTCAAATTGATTGATAACAATGTCATATTGATTGATAACATTGTCAGATTGATTGATAGCATTGTCATATTGACTTATAACATTGTCATATTGACTGATAACATTGTCATATTGACTGATAACATTGTCATATTGATTGAAAACATTTTCATATTGATTGATAACATTGTCATATTGACTTATAACTTTGTCATATTCATTAATAACATTGTTATATTGATTAATAACTGTCATATTGATAATAACATTGTAATATTGATTGATAACATTGTCACATTGATTGATAACATTGTCATATTGACTGATAACATTGTTATATTGATTGATAACATTTTAATATTGATCAATAACTATCATATTGATTGATAACCTTGTCATATCGATTGATAACATTGGCATATTGATTGATAACATTATCATCTGTTGTCACGTGTAATTGTTTCAGGAAAGTTTGTCAAAGAAAATCTCGACATAGACTGCAGGGGGAATCCTGATAGAGAAAAAAGTTATTGTAATGATGCCACGTGGGCCAACAAATCATGGGGAGGTAACAATGTACCTGGACTTAACTTGGGGTTCACTCCCCGGAAGGACACAATCATTATACCAACAGGAGGGTAAGCATCGTCTTTTATCTCCATTTAGTTGCCATTCAAAGGCGTTTAATGTTTCTATGTGTTCCCATTAACTAGGCATTCAAAGGTGTTTAATGTTTCAATGTGTTCCCATTAACTAGGCATTCAAAGGTGTTTAATGTTTCAATGTGTTCCCATTAACTAGGCATTCAAAGGTGTTTAATGTTTCAATGTGTTCCCATTAACTAGGCATTCAAAGGTGTTTAATGTTTCAATGTGTTCCCATTAACTAGGCATTCAAAGGTGTTTAATGTTTCAATGTGTTCCCATTAACTAGACATTCAAAGGTGTTTAATGTTGCTATGTGTTCCCATTAACTAGACATTCAAAGGTGTTTAATGTTTCAATGTGTTCCCATTAACTAAGCATTCAAAGGTGTTTAATGTTTCAATGTGTTCCCATTAACTAGACATTCAAAGGTGTTTAATGTTTCAATGTGTTCCCATTAACTAGGCATTCAAAGGTGTTTAATGTTTCTATGTGTTCCCATTAACTAGACATTCAAAGGTGTTTAATGTTTCTATGTGTTCCCATTAACTAGACATTCAAAGGTGTTTAATGTTTCAATGTGTTCCCATTAACTAGGCATTCAAAGGTGTTAAATGTTTCAATGTGTTCCCATTAACTAGACATTCAAAGGTGTTTAATGTTTCAATGTGTTCCCATTAACTAGGCATTCAAAGGTGTTTAATGTTTCTATGTGTTCCCATTAACTAGACATTCAAAGGTGTTTAATGTTTCAATGTGTTCCCATTAACTAGACATTCAAAGGTGTTTAATGTTTCAATGTGTTCCCATTAACTAGGCATTCAAAGGTGTTTAATGTTTCAATGTGTTCCCATTAACTAGGCATTCAAAGGTGTTTAATGTTTCAATGTGTTCCCATTAACTAGGCATTCAAAGGTGTTTAATGTTTCAATGTGTTCCCATTAACTAGGCATTCAAAGGTGTTTAATGTTTCAATGTGTTCCCATTAACTAGACATTCAAAGGTGTTTAATGTTTCAATGTGTTCCCATTAACTAGGCATTCAAAGGTGTTTAATGTTTCAATGTGATCTCATTAACTAGTCATTCAAAGGTGTTACAATTTGATTTGATAAATAAATAAGTGGACGTTTATTGGAGGCGTCTTAAAATGAAAATAAGTATGACCCAGCATTCTAATAGTTACTTATTTTTTTTAATAATGTGTATCTTGTATGAGACATGAAAAACATTTGCATATACGAGAGGACCAGGGGTGAAGATTATGTGTATAGAGTTTTAAAAAATAATATAATATCTATTTCTTGTTAGCTTCCGATTTTCTCCGTTTATGAGATGGTGGCAGGTGCCGAAAAATCCCTTAACTGCCCTGGTCACCGCACTGCCCCCTGTACACCCCATTGACCCTGGATACCCACTGACCCCTGGACACCCTACTGACCCCTGGATGCCGCACTGCCTCCTGTATACCCCACTGCCCCCTGTATACCCCACTGACCCCTGGACACCCCACTGCCCCCTGGACACCCCTCTGCCCCTCCACTGACCCCTGGATATCCCAATGACCCATGGAAACCCCGCTGCCTCCTGGACACCCCACTGCCCCCTGGACACCCTTCTGCCACCTGGACAAACCACTGTCTCAACCTACTTATACTTTTGAATATAAATAGCCTGCTTCAAATATAGGGAGTGCATATAAAAACATATTAAGGGCCCTAATAATTCGTCTGAATTCATGGACTAACATCTTGGTCTGAATTCATGGACTAAAATCTTCGTCTGAATTCATGGACTAAAATCTTGGTCTGAATTCATGGACTAAAATCTTGGTCTGAATTCATGGACTAAAATCTTGTACTGAATCAATTAACGAAAATCTTGGACTGAATTCATTGACTAAAATCTTGTACTGAATCAATTAACGAAAATCTTGGACTGAATTCATGGACTAAAATCTTGTCCTGAATTAATTAAATGAAACCTTGGACTGAATTTATTGACTAGAATCTTTAACTGAATTCATTGACTAAAAAGTTGAGCTGAATTCATTGAATAAAATCTTGATTTGAATTCATCGACTAAAATCTTGAACTGAATTCAGTGTCATAAATCTTGAACTGAATTCATTGTCTAAAATCTTGAATTGAATTAATTGACTAAAATTTTGAATTGACTTCATCAAATGAAATTTTGGATTGAATTCTTTGTCTAAAATCTTGAGCTGAATTTTGGACTGAATTAATTGGTAAAAATCTTGGACTGAATTTCTTGTCTAAAATCTTGAACCGAATTCATTGATTAAATTCTTGAACTGAATTCATTGACTAAAACAGTGGTCCCCAAATGGCGGTCCATGGACCTTCACCGGACCGCATGCCTGACGCTGCCGGTCCCCATAACATAAATATTTATTGTCAAATAGAAATAAAAGTATAAAAATAAATCATGCACCGGTCCCTGGTAAAATTTCAAAACTTGTTCACCGGTCCGCCAAACTTAAATATTTGGGAACCACTGGACTAAAATATCGGACTGAATTAACTGATTCTTTCCTGATGACGTCATTTATTTGCTTCTACGACAGCTACGTCGTCTTGCGGATCAAGGCAGATAACCCCGGCCTGTGGTTGATGCACTGTCACATAGAGTTACACAGCATGGACGGGATGATTCTTATGTTCAATGAATCGTTCGCACGTCAGCCAACACCGCCGAGTGATCTATTCAAGTGTGGAGACGTCTTCTATAAATCAAACCCCAATGGATTCTGTGAGTTCAATATTTTTACTTTAGTAGCCGATATACCTGGCCCACCGTGGATGTGTTTTTGGTATGTCAGATCTATAACATTGTTCGATAGCATTACAGTTGAAAGAAACAATGCCAACAAAAAGTTTCAGATAATTAACCGATCCATGTTTTAGAAGTCGTTCAATATATCTACGTTTCTAAATAAGATAGTTGTGGCCCTTGTACTTAACATTGGATATGAGACCCTAGGAATTTTATTTATTTATTTTTTTTAAAAGAATATTCACATTATTTTAAAATAGAGATATTACAATCTTGAAACTCAATGAAAATGTGATAAAAGGAATGTCACCACTCATGACAACTATGTATCGAATGGCTATGTTCTACACTAGCCAAATTTTAATGGGGGGATGAAACAACACTTTAAAGGAATCATTTATGCATCACCAAGAGAGAGAAAATTCATTAGTCATTTTTAATGTACATTTTTGATCAATTCGGTTAAGTTTAATTTTAATTAATTTGTAAAATTTCTCTTCCAGGCACGATGGGAGGCAAACTGCTGTGGATTGTTTTTAGCTCTATAATTGTAACCCTTGTCCTTTAGACGGGCTAATATAGTACTGACCACATTCCCTTAAGTAGTATGTAACTTTTGATATATAACATATAAATCACAATAGTTTATGTCACGGTTGCCAGATGGAAATTTAAAAAAAAAACTGGAAAAGGTAAGAAGCAAAACTCTCTCCAGACGATTGACGGTGTTTGTGTAGCTTCAGGCGGTCGGTTCCACCTTATTAGTCCGCCGGGCGGTCGGTTCCGCCTTACTAGTCCGCCGGGTGGTCGGTTCCACCTTACTAGTCCACCGGGCGGTCGGTTCCACATTACTAGTCCGCCACGCTACGTAGAGGCAAAACCCTTACGTTTCTTACATGATTTAGTTTCGAGAACTATTGATCAACTCTATACGTCTACCCTGCCCGTATTCGCGCCCCTGAACTAATTTCTTTTCTCAAAATATTGTATAAACATTACCTTAAATTTCACCCCCAAAAATCTAAATACCATTATAAACATCTTTTATATTAACGGAATTTCATTTATTGGTATCATCATTCAAAATGTAATAATGGAAGGACTACATGATTTTTTACTGTGTTCTGTTTTGTGTTGTATTTTCATTCGCTGGAGAAGGCTGTAAGCCGAAACGTTCATATCTTGTTGTCACGTCTGTTGATTCAAACTTCCACAGACAGACATTGTTATATTTCATTCAAAAGGTAACCAAACTTTGTGTCTTGTTTCTACCAAATTATCGGAAAATCGTAAAACAAAGAATTATTTGATCTTAAGAAGAACATCAACAAATTTGCACGTCTGTAACAGCCTCGATTTTTGTTTGTTTTAAAAAGAAATAATAATAATAATAAGAGGTCTTATATAGCGCGGTACCCCAGCCTGGGGCTGGGCTCACCGCGCTGTACATAAAATTTTTTATCAAAAGAAACATAATCATGACATTAAAATTAAATACATTTATGAAATAAAGAATAGCAATGTATATTCACCCACCCCACCACATAAATTTTACAAGGCAAACCATGGACTATTATATCTATTCATACAATTAATAAAATAAAATTTACACCGACTTTTCTTTTCGCAGTGCATAGAAATATATCTTTTCATATTTTAAAAGAAAATCTAAACATATCTAAACGCCCAAGGACTGTAGACGAAAAAAACAATAACAAGGTTATATATGTATACAAGAAGGAACTTTGCTGACCGTAACGTCAAAGAACTGAACAGATTAAGTAGGTTCGGATTCTTACAAACGATCCTAGTTATTTTCTATTATTTTACAGAAATTAAATAAATTTCAATGAGCAAAAAATGTTATATATCCGCTTTTATTTTAGTAAAAGTTTAAGTATTATTATTATTATAAATTACAAATACATTTAAAGTATCAACTAAAGAAACTATTTTAAGCATTTTTATATGTACTTGAAACTTAAATAAAAATGATGATCAAAGAATTACACAGTAATCAATTGATCGGGAAAACACAAACCTCAGTTGTTTATAAGTGCGTTGCTAATGTTGCATGAAAAGCTCACATAAAAAAAAATAATAATAAAAAGGCCCCCAGCCCAAAACGTAAAATTGTAAAATGGTTGTACTACTTAAAAGAACAACTTATTCTTCAACACACAAACTGAAATGTCGCTTGTATTGGATTAAATTCCATCAACCCGTGCATTAGTTTTGTTTGAACTTATATTTATACAGCTCATATAAGAAAATAATACTTTAGGGCCGCCGGCCCTAAAAAACAATATATCAAAAATCGATAACCAAATTCATAAACCTTGCGGGCGTGCGCACAACAACTTTCCAAAATTATATCGGATCAATGGTATAGGAAAGCATCGGGAAAATATGTCTAGTTTTTTTTTAAAATGGCGCCGGGCCCAAAACGGAATTTTGTAAAATGTGTAAAATAATTGTGGTGAAATCTTCGGAAGGCTAATTGACACACTTCCCGTCACAATATCAAGCTAAAACTTGGTACAAAGACTCCTTTCAGAAGACAACACATTCTATCAAATTGTAAGCCCCATCCTCCAACTTCACAACCAAAAAATAATTTTTTCCTGCTTTTTAAGAGGAAGATAAAGGAGATATGATGACAATGATTTCACGAAAGAAAATTCCCGATAACTGAGCTCAAAGAGATTTTTAAAAAATAATTTGCAAATTCATTTGTTGCGTAATATTTTCTTTTGTTTTTCTTAAATGCTGTAATAAGTCTGTAGTGTAAAAGCGGTTGGGACATGAGTATATTAATATATTACAGGGCCGTGAAAAAATGTGCGGTTGTGAGCCTTATGGGGAGAGCACTAATTCGGATTCTTGTAAAGTGCGTTATTTGAATGTATGCAGTGTGTAAAGTGTGTTATTTGAATGTATACAGTGTGTAAAGTGCATTAGTTGAATGTATGCAGTGTGTAAAGTGCGTTATTTGAATGTATGCAGTGTGTAAACTGCGTTATTTGAATGTATGCAGTGTGTAAAGTGCGTTAGTTGAATGTATGCAGTGTGTAAAGTGCGTTATTTGAATGTATGCAGTGTGTAAAGTGCGTTAGTTGAATGTATGCAGTGTGTAAAGTGCGTTAGTTGAATGTATGCAGTGTGTAAAGTGCGTTATTTGAATGTATGCAGTGTGTAAAGTGCGTTAGTTGAATGTATGCAGTGTGTAAAGTGCATTAGTTGAATGTATGCAGTGTGTAAAGTGCGTTAGTTGAATGTATGCAGTGTGTAAAGTGCGTTAGTTGAATGTATGCAGTGTGTAAAGTGCGTTAGTTGAATGTATGCAGTGTGTAAAGTGCGTTATTAGTTGAATGTATGCAGTGTGTAAAGTGCGTTAGTTGAATGTATGCAGTGTGTAAAGTGCGTTAGTTGAATGTATGCAGTGTGTAAAGTGCGTTAGTTGAATGTATGCAGTGTGTAAAGTGCGTTAGTTGAATGTATGCAGTGTTTCTTTCAGGCATCTCTCCGGGGGCAGAGTAAAATGTGTACAAAAATATTCTTCTTCTTCTTCTTAGCCGTTCTCACCCCCAGTGGAGTATAGTCTATTGACAATACTTTTCCATCTGTCCCAGTCTATCTTTGCTAGTTCAGCCCAACTTTTCTTCATTCTCTTCCCCACTGTCTCTACTCTCCTCTTCCATGTGGCTCTTGGTCTTCCTCTTTTCCTGTCACCTTGAGGATTACAGTTCAGGGCCTGTCTTGTGATGTTAGTGTTTGGTTTCCTTAATGTGTGCCCTATCCATCTCCAGTTTCTCATTTTTATCTCCGTTTCCACCAGAACACTTGATGTTATCTCCCAAAGGACAGTGTTACACATTTTGTCAAACCATCTTATTTTGAGGATCCTTCGTAAGCATCTATTTTATAAAAACCTGAAGTGTTTTAATGTTTGTTTTTTGTTATTCTCTAAGTTTCACAGATTTACAGAAGAAGTGCCTTGACATTTGACTTGAAATTTTTAAACTTTTTTTTGGTCAGTATTTCGCTTAAGTTCCAGATGTTTCGCAGGGCACTGAATGCCCCTCTGGCCCTTTGGACCCTAGACTTTATGTCCTCATCTGTGCCACCATTTTTATTTATGATGCTTCCCTGGTATGTACAAATCTTAACTTCCTCAAGAGACGCTCCTCTCGGGTTAATTCCAATGACTCCATCATCCACTGCATTTATTCTTAAGGTCTTGGTGTTCCCTTTATTTATGCCAAGTCCAACTTGCTGCGATACAGAGTCAAGTTTTGTTGTTTTCTCCTGCATTTGTTTATGTCTATATGATTAAAGTGCAATGTCGTCTGCACAATCCCAATCCTCCAACTGTCTGAAAGGTGTCCACTGGATTCCATTTTTCCCATCCCGTGTTGTTTCTCTCATCATCCAGTCAATGGATAACAGAAAGAGGAATGGTGGGAGCAGGCATCCCTGTCGAACTCCAGATTCTATCATAAATGGGTTTGTGAGTTCACCTCCATGTATAGCCCTACAACTCATATCCTTTTATGTTTTCTTAATTAAGTTAGTACAAAAATAAAGCGAAAATATTATTTTATTAAAAATAACTAAATTTTCATTTTTAAACAGTTTTAAAAAGAATAGTATAAGGTGCCCTTTACCGATTACAAATAGTGGAGTCTATGAAATATTGGATCGCTACGCTTGATATATTTGATGATCCGCATATTTAAGGCCAATCTTGTTAGAGGCTTACAGTATTCGATATAAATATCGTACTGGCCGCTCCAGATTATAAGCCGATGACTTACTTTTCGTTGTTCGCAGACATCGTTCATTTTATTCAAGTATTTTTTTGCAACTTTACAAGTTTAAAAATTTTAATAAAACTGTATTGAGATTAAGTGCATGTTTTAAATTAAGAATTTAACGGGCG